GCAGTGCTTGGGACACCATGGCCACCCTCCTGACATCTGTGCTTACTCAGAAATGCCCTCAGATGCAGCTGTTATGTGGCTACACACCCGTTGTCTGGAGTCTCTGTATTTCCTTGCCAAGCCTTTAGTTGTGGAACTAACCTAACTGGCAAAACAGGAATGTAACAAACGATCCCTGTGATATGAGTCACGTTAACTATTTATATGGAAGAGGTGTTATAGGCACCACATGCACACATGCCCTGCTGTGACATGTTTCATTGAATTTGCCTGATGTAGATAGAAATTGCAGCCTACAACATACTCCTAAATATGCAGTTCTGCATTTGGAGTTACAACCAAATTAAAGTAGAATGACTGTCTTGGTGTTAGAGTGACTCTATTCATGTTTCAAGAGGAAAAAAAAAACTTTCCCAGTTAACCATACATTTCCTTCTAAAGGAGATGTTTGTTTTTTCTCTTCTGAGGTGCGTTTTGCTTTTCAGATTAACTCCTCAGAGAGAATGTTTGTTTTCAGCCACAAGAGAAATCAAATCAATAAGGTCATTGTTGTCTTAACAAACTGTACCATGTTAGAAGATACTACATTGTCAAACTTTCTAAGCCAACTCACTTGTATGACAGTGGTTTCAGATTGAATCATCTCTTAGGGATTGGCACAGTTTGCTCATGGCACTGAATTAATGTACCACCACCCCACAGCAAACTGACTAACTTTCTTTTTGTTTTTGTTTTTTGGTTATTCGAAACAGGGTTTCTCTGTATTGTTTTAGAGGCTGTCCTGGAACTCACTCTGTAGACCAGGCTGGCCTCGAACTCACAGAAATCCTCCGGCCTCTACCTCCCGGGTGCTGGGATTAAAGGCGTGCACCACCAACGCCCGGCTCTGACTAACATTTATTCATACTGCCAAATGCCGAATAGCAATGTAAGTGATGCTAATTTTCTTCAGAGAGCATCAGGGAGCTCCAGCCACAATTCAGTGGTGTGTATTGATCGTCTACTGAATATCATTCTGCAAAAATGAGTGTTTTAGCTAGGGTTTCTGTTGCTTCGATGAAACACCATGAGCAAAAATCAAGTTGGGGAGGAAAGGGTTTATTAGGTTTACCCTTCAACATCATGGTTCATCATCACAGAAATGAAAACAGGAGGCTCAAGCTGGGCAGGCTCCTGGAGGCAGGAGCTGATGCAGAAGTCATAGAGGGGTGCTGCTAACTGGCTTGCTCTCCAGGGCTTGCTGAGCCTGCTTTCTTATAGAACTCAGAACCACTAGGGATACAACCACCCACAGTGGACTGGGTCCTGTCCTATCAATCACTAATTACGAAAATGCCTTACAGGCTTGCCTACAGACTGATCTTAGGGAGGCATTTTCCTAATTGAGGTTCTCTCCTCTCCGATGACTTTAGCTTGTGTCAAGTTGATATAAAACTATCCAACATAAGGAGTAAACAAGATTACCTGCTCTCAGTGTGGTCAAAGTCTAAATTTATGTATGGGAGAGGCAGACACACATGGGTCATTACTCTGGTAAGTGCAGTATAGTTGAAATCTTCAGAGGTAAATCTTAGGGACCACCCTGTGATTTTTAATGGAAAATCCATAGTAGAGCCAAGTTGACTTATACCAGTTATTTCAAAGAAAGCGAGCTCACTTTATCATTTGTCTGTTATTTTAGCTCTCTGTGACCCCAGTATTCTGTGGGTCTCTGCAAAGTGAAAAGCCCAGCAGAGGAGTGACCACAGCAAGTCAGAGAGTGTTGATGTCTCCTTGGAGGAGTCTCACTAAGATTTATAGTAAACTAGATGTTTTAAGAAAGCACTTTCCTCTTCCCTGTTTTTGTAACAGCAGCAGTTGGCAAAACTTTTCCATAAAGAGACGGATAGTAAACATTTTTAGACTTTGCCCAGTGTACACTCTCTATAGCACGTACACACCTCACATTTTATCAGGGCACAGCAACAGGCTACAAACAAGCCAGCCCGATGCATTTCACTATAGCTTTATTTACAAAACCTGGGCTCCAGCAGATTTGCCCTCAGGACATAGCTTTCCAAGCCCTGCTCTATAAATAATATTGTTTTAATCTTGATAGATAGCTAAAATCTACTGAAGGGTAAGACATATGGAATAACCTTAAACTTGAAATGAGGACACCTATTTAGGGCTCGGTACCTGGTACCTCATTACAATGCCCCTCTGATTCAGTCCACTGGTTTTCTCTGGCCTCAGTCTTCTCTATTAAAAAAAAAAATAATTTAGCAAAATTGCTTCCATGATGTCTTTGAAAATTGGTGTCCCAGCTTTATTTTTGTTGCTGTGATAAACACCATGATCAAAAGCAACTTTTGTAGGGAAATTATTTACTTCATCCTATAAATAGTAGTCTGTCATCAAAAGAAACCAGGGCAGGTTCTCAAGGCAGGAGCTTGAGGCAGAAATCATAGAGGAATGCTGCTTACTGGCTTGCTGGAAGTCTCGCCCTCAACTATTATATACTACCTGGACCACCTACCCAGAGGTGGCATTGATCACAGTGGACTTGGCTTTCCCACATCAATTAACAGACAAGAAAATACCACACAGACATGCCTACAGGCCAGTCTGATGGAGGCATTTCCTCAGTTGAGGTAAATGAAGAGAAGTGGCTTCCCCAGGAGGTGGGGTAACTTCAACCTTGAAGGAAAGTGTCCAAACTTGCTTAGCTCCTTCGCCATGCCTCAGGGTTGGGGGCAATTCCAGGAGACCAGGGCACCTGCACCTGGGCAGTGAGAAAGTTAAAGGAGGTGAACTGCTCAGGAGTAGAGAAGAGGTAGAGGCACAGATACCAGAGACCAAGGCATCCAAGTATGGAGTCCTTCCAGGAGTAGCTTGTTGGAAATTGTTCCTCTTGAAGACCTAGATTAGTGCTTAGACGGGAACTGGCATTTCAGTCTTCGTTGGAAGGTTGTGAGCAAAGAACATCCAGGTAGGATGTTGTTGCTGCTGCTGACCTCTGAAGCCAGACCTAGGAGAGAAAGAGAAGCCACAAAAAGGCTGCATGATGGGGGCAGTCTGAGTTTCCGGGTACCTCTGGGTGGCCTCGGAGAGGCAGGAGGATGGCTTGCCCAGTCTATCCCAGAGCCACAAGTTGATTTCATTATAAGCAGTAACCTTGAGGATAGGATCACCATGCCACTGTATGCAGCCTGATTGGCCCCTAGAGTCAAGTACCTGCCCTTTTCCACCCAATAAGTTTCCTGAAGGTGCACTGTGGGTATGAATTTAGGAAATTGCAGTCTTCACCCATCTGTGCTAGACAGTTTTATCTGTACTTATGTTCTTTTTAATGTATATTAGGAAAAAGTTGAACTAGCAGATGGATGTCATATAAATGTTATGTAAGACAGTGTGCAGTGAAAAAAATCGGAGTTGATTTATTGAAAATAGATATTAAGTAAATAATGGCTTCTATAGTCAGATATGACAAATTGGAAAATGAATATGAATAGTTGAAGTCCACACTATTTGGTTACATTTTTATTTTTCCAAATCTTCTGCCTTAACAAGATTATTTTCGAGATCATAAAATTCCATCACTGCACAAGACTCAGATGATTCCACTTTCATTTTTTAAAAAATGCAATAGTTGAGGCCAGGTGAGGTAGTGCATGCCTTTGTTCCTAGCATTCAGAGGCAGAAATAAGTGGATCTCTGCAAGTGAGTTCCAGCCAAGCCAGGGCTACATAATGAAATCAGACTATACGGGCTAGAAAGATAGCTCAATCAGTAACATGAGGACTTGAGTTCAGTACCTGGAACTCACAGTTTTAAATTGGTCAAGGCCTGTTAGCTCACACTTATAATTCTAGCACTACTGGGGGTGTAGAGACACTCCTGGGGAAGCAGAGACAGGTGGATCCTTGAGGTTAGATGACCACTTATCATAGCCTGTGTGTTGAGCTCCAGGCAGTCAGAGAGCATGTCTCAAAAAGGTGAGTGTCACCTGACGATTTGTCATCTGGCCTCTGCACGCACACACACACACACACACACACACACACACACACACACACACACACACTGCAATGATACCCAAATAACAGATTTGGAAAGAGATACAGGTGGTGGGAAGGATAAAGCCAACAAAGGTCTTTGGGGCTGCTGGCTAGCCACCTCACTCCCATCATGGAATCTCTGTGTGCACTTTCTATCAAAGGGCTGATAGAGTTTATATTTTTCATTTTAAATTTAGCATCTCAAGTTCCTTTATATTTCACACTTCTGTTTACTGCACCCTTCCCACTTGGGCATTGTTGGCTATTGTCATTCCTCAAACCCTACACTGTCTTTAATTCTACTTCGTTCTGACCTGAAGCTATTGCAAGTAGAGTGGAATGAATTCACAGCGTAGTTCACATGCTAGAGTTCCAGAACCTTCCTGTGCAAGAACCTTCCTTAGAAAACTTCTTTTTCCTTGGCTGTAATTTTCCATGGTGTTTTACAATTTATACTTTTCACTTGTATCATCTTATTCCAAATTTTTGCCTCTGATCTCCCTAAGGTGACATCTTTTTCTTCCCCCATTCAGAAAATTTCCATAAATTCTCAAGGTCTTCATTTCCTTTGAGTGATATAACTACTTTCCTCTGTGTGGATGAAACAATCCCATGACACTTCCTTCCCTGTGTCCTTGCTTTGGACATTTAAAAATTTATGTATGTTACATATGTATGTCTTTATATAAATCATGAGTACATTGCATATTGTTTACATGTCTCATGGGTAGCTGGAGTCTTGGATATATGCTGTATAAATATCTAGTTTGTTATTTTGGGTCAAGAATACTGAGATCAGAATTTTTTCACTTTTGTTTGGAAAGTCCTGATATGAGAATATACTGTAATAAGCATTTTATAGAAAGTTAAACACAGAAGTAACTGTACCCAATACCTAGAAGAGGTAAAAGCTAATTTATTCGTCCTGTGGATTTTTTTTCCTTTTTTTTTTTTTTACAGGTTAGATTACAGCGGGCCTTCCAGAGAGTTTTTCTTCCTGGTATCCAGAGAACTGTTTAACCCCTATTATGGCTTATTTGAATATTCAGCCAATGACACGTACACAGTACAAATAAGTCCTATGTCTGCTTTTGTAGACAATCACCATGAATGGTAAGGATTTTGTTTCTGTGACGGTTGTCCTCAGTTAATTTTCTGTGATGCTAGATCTCCCCCTACCTCCCTCCAAAAGAAGCCACATTTCTTTTAACATTTTCACTCCTGGATAAAAGTTAAATTATCTGTTGTGTATCTCATTTGGTTTTTATTTTTGTTATCAAACTTAATTATAGAGGCAACCTCCTCAGCCAGTAATTAATTATATTGCATAAGGTCAATTGTAACTGAGTTGAATAGAATTCAAAACTTTATCCCATTGGAGAAATGTTACAGTGGCTTGTTTCTTAGTAAATCCCCAAGTCCAGTGATTCTCAACCTCCCTCCCTTAAACACAGTTCCTCATGTCGTGGTGACCCCAACTATAAAATTATGTCCTTGCTGCTTCATAACTATAATTTTGCTACTGTTATGAATTGTAATGTAAATATCTGATATACAACCCCAAAGGGGTCCTGGCCCACAGGTTGAGAACCACTGCCCAGGTCCCTCTGGCAGAGGACAAGCAGCTTCTTTAACAGCCTAGAGAAATCTGGCCTCGAGGGAGAGGAGGTGGGGCAACTGGGGCCCTGGCTGAGGCCTGTTCATATTTGTGAGTCTGTGTGAGAGCGTGTGTGTATATGTGAGTGTGTGAGAGAGTGTATGTGTGTGAGTGTGTGTAAGTGTGTGTATATGTGAGTGTGTGAGAGAGTATATGTGTATGAGTGTGTGTGAGTTTGAGTGTGCATGTGAGTATGTGTAAGTGTGTGTATATGTGAGTGTGTGAGAGTGTATGTGTGAGAGTATGTGTATATGTGAGTGTGTGAGAGTGTATGTGTGTGAGTGTGTGTATATGTGAGTGTGTGAGTATGTGTATATGTGAGTGTGTGTGAGTGTATGTGTGAATGTGTGTATATGTGAGTGTGTGAGTGTGTGTATATGTGTGTATAAGTGTGTGTGAGTGTATGTGTGAGTGTGTGTATATGTGAGTATGTGTGAGAGAGTGTATGTGTGTGAGTGTATATATGAGAGTGTGTGAGTGTGTATATGTGAGTGTGTGTGAGTGTATGTGTGTGAGTGTGTGTATATGTGAGTGTATGTGTGAGAGTGTATGTGTGAGTGTGTGTATATGTGAGTGTGTGAGAGAGTGTATGTGTGTGAGTGTGTGTATATGTGAGTGTGTATATGTGAGTGTGTGAGTGTGTGTATATGTGTGTATATGCGATTGTGTGTGTATGTGTGTGAGAGAGTGTATGTGTGAGTGTGTATATGTGTGTGAGAGAGTGTATGTGTGTGAGTGTGTGTGTTTGAGTGTGCATGTGAATGTGTGTGAGTGTGTGTATATGTGAGTGTGTGTGAGAGAATGTATGTGTGTGAGTGTATATATGAGAGTGTGTGAGTGTGTATATGTGAGTGTGTGTGAGTGTATGTGTGTGAGTGTGTGTATATGTGAGTGTATGTGTGAGAGTGTATGTGTGAGTGTGTGTATATGTGAGTGTGTGTGAGAGAGTGTATGTGTGTGAGTGTCCGAGTGTGTGCATGTGTGAGAGTGGGTGTGCCTGTGAGCCTGTGTATAGGGTAGTGGCCTAAGGGAACCGCAGATCAAGTGCAGGAGCGGGAAGTCCGCGCAGCACCGGCTCGCACTCCAGCACACTTTACCCACTTAACATTTGGAGGCAGAGATTGCCTTTTTCTTAATTTATCACACAAAACCAAGGCAAACAATTTCAAGATTCCCATCTGGAGGCACTTACTCTGAAAAATCCCAAATTGCACTCTTTCCAAATGTCCTTACATCTTTTTCAAATCTCTATATTTGTAGACTTTAAATATTTACATAACCCCTATTAACTTGTTCCTGGTCGTTTTCACTGATAGTAACAAAGAAAGGGCATAAGTGGGAAAAGGTTGAGTCATGGGGTTATTGACGGGTGAAAAGGATTAACTCTGAGGACTTACTCCTCAAAGTAACCTCTTGTTTAGTTACAAATTTGGAGGCCTCCTCACTCTGGCTGTTGCAGCTGTGCTAACATACGTGGAGACGAAGAGGGACAAACCTGCAGGCCACTAACCTCAGAAAGCCTTCCTGGTATACAGAGAACTGCAGGCCAGCAGTACTCCTGACTAAATTGCAGGCCGGCAGTACTCTTGTAGGCATCAAACGTTGAATAGCTGGAAACCAAGAAATGTGTGATGGAGAAAACAATTGTGTTCCTCAGGCAGAAAACCCAGTCTTGGTAAAGTTTCCGAGCTGATTCAGAATAGGCTTCAATTTTGAAATTTTGGAGAACAGAATGTCTCATGAGGAAAGCCCCCCAATGTCTGTATGAATACTTGGTGAGTGATGGTATTTACCATTAGGAGTGAGGCTTGGGAGAGAACAGGGATGGATGGGAACCTCCTGAATCTGAATAAGGGCTTTCCCTCAGAAGGGAATTGCTCCTAGTTTGCATTAGAGCTAATATCCATGAACACAAACTGAAGGTGACTTTTTCTCAACTGCCTTAGTCTTTATTAGTATCTCTTGGGGTGGTTTGGGGAAATTTCACCGAAATGCTGTGGGGAGCTCATACTGTCAAATGCAGGATGATCCAGAGTGACATCGTTAACATGGAGTAAGGGTAAGATGTCCCTAAACATTAGAGGAACGGATTTCCTCCACAAGTAAACACTGGCTAACGAAGACACACTACAGTGTCCCAAAAACCCTGGTGGAACTGGTGGGCAGGTAATCTTGGACAAACAATAGAGTTGAAATTCATTCTAGGATGTCAGCCCAGCTGCTCAGTGTTGTTCAGCTGCCTTGTTTTTCTCCTTCACAGGTTCCGGTTCAGTGGGAGGATCCTCGGTCTTGCACTAATACACCAGTATTTGTTGGACGCCTTCTTCACACGCCCCTTCTATAAGGCTCTTCTCAGAATGTAAGCGTATGTTTGTGCTCTCTTAGTCGGCATGTGAGGCTCAAGAATGCTTTTCTGAAGAGGGTTTGAGAGATGGCTCAGCGGTTAAGACCATTGGCTGCTCTTCCAGAGGACCCAGGTTCAATTCCCAACACCCATATGGCAGCTCACAACTGTCTTTAACTCTAGCTCCAAAGGACCCAGCACCCATGGCAAAACATGAATACACATTAAAAAAAAAAACAAGAACAAGTTTTGTCAAGGACTCTGTTTATCTGCACATTATAACAGATCGATTGTTGAGTGAATAGTGGTTTGGATTTTAAAAACAAATACAATTTTAAACGTAGTTGTTTGCTTCTGGCCCTTCCCTTCTGATTACCCACCAAATCTTAAGCTTTGTTCTTCCCTAAATAGTTGGTTCTCATCTGTGGCAACACATGTTTCTTTAAGACAACTGTACTTCAAACACAGCCCTGAGATTCTTGTGGCATCAATGCTGATTATTAATAGAATAGTTGTGGATTAGACTTGGTGATTCGTAGCCTGTGCCCCTTTAGGAAGTGCACGTTGTATTTTGCTTTATGCACTTCCAATAGCTTGCTCATGGTCACAAGTTCATTTTCTTTTGTTTAATTTCTGTTTTCTTTTGTGTTTCGTTCTTAGGCGTAGACAGTGCTGTACTTTTCTTGAGGCCTTCCTAAATCAAAATAGCAGTGTATGGGGCAGATGAAAAATTAGCATCCATAGAACTTTTTCTTTGTTTTTATTACAATGCGAGAGCAATTATTGTACAGTGTAGAGCAAAACCACCCTTATGATCAGTAGGTAGTCACTTACAAGACCGAGTGGAAAGCAAGTGCTGTGGGAGGAAAGTAGACATGTAGACTTCAGTTGCAAAGTACTGAAGTCCGGAATCATGGCTGGGAGCTGTCTAGCACGTCCTCCCATCGAGCCCATGGACCTCTTGATCCCTAAAGTGAAGTCCTGACCCCAAATGAAAACCAACAGAATGTTTCTCATGCGGCTTCAGCGTGCTCAGTAGGAAGACTTTCCTCCTAGGTAACAAGGATCTTCATCCCTATTTCTCCCAGGCTCCCTTGACACTTTTGCATTTCATTGTCTTCTTCTCATGGTTTCATAGGTTGTCTGAAAGTTCCACTGTTTATATCTGCTGCTAAATCACACCCTCAACGTGTGTTGTTCTGGCTTCTCTCCCTCCTTGAATACCTGGGAACTGTTGATGAGTGCTTCTTAGTCCTATCTCCTTAGATGGTTTTGCTCCTTCTGATACGGATATTCAACTCTGGGATAGCAGAGACAATCAGAAACTGAAAGTTCTCTCTGCTGCCCTGGAGTTTATCCCCATGACACTGTGTTCACCTCTTCTTGCTCCTCTGTTGGCCTTTCCTCTGGCTTGCCCTTAACCTTGGAGTTTCTGAAGCTTCCATTCCACACCCGTCTCTCTAAGGCTGCAGAAAGGAATTTCTTCACTTGTTTCTTCTCCTATGGACCACTGAATGGAGCCCCAGGTCTTGCTGTCTTGAGTTGAGGCTTGTGTGAACAGTCCTCGGAACATTGCTTCTTGGGTGTTTCAGGGGGATCCCAAATCTGCATAATTAAAGCAGAACTCATTATGGGCCTTGAAGTGAAACTTCTGTGTGTCCACCAGATGTTAATGGTACACATGATCTTCGTTATTCTGGTTAGTAATCAGAAGTGGCCCTTAGGCAAGCGTAGCAAATGCACAGTACAGGTTTTCAAGTTGTTTTCTTGGTGCTGTGACAAAATCTTTGACCACAGCAACTTAAGGGAAAGTTTGTTTTGACTTACAATTTGAGGAATGCCAGCCATTTTGGCAGGGCAGCTGGTTATGTTTCATCCTCAGTCAGAAAACAGGGAGAATGCCCAGCTCGGTTTCTTCTTATTCAGTCTGGAACCCCAGCCTAAAGAATGGTTGATTCTACACATGTTTGGGTGGGTTTTCCACTACAATTAAATTAATCTAGAAAACTCCCCACAGGCATACCCAAAGGTTGTCTCCTTGGTGATTCTGCATCCTGTCAGTTGGCACTATGAACCTTCACGGCATCCATCATGGTCTTTTCCCATCATGTGGAGTACTTTCAAAGGATGTGTGGTGGGTTTTTTTTTGCCACTGAAATCATGTGACCTCAGAAATTTTTTTCAGTTCATTCACTGAAAATTGTTGATCAATGCAGCAGGCAGCATGGTTGAGGTCTAAGAGTGACGTTCAGAGTTGGCCTATGTGTGATATGAATTCATTTGCCATCCCTATTCTACATTATCCTCCTTTGTACTACTTTCCAATATAACCCTTTACTAATTTCTGTGTTCCTGCCTCTCACTCTTAATAGCCTTGTTCTCATTAGAACATTGCTCTTACTTTGGCTACATTACTGAAGTGGTCTGTTAATTGATTTCCATCCATTTAAAATAATCTTTTCAGTATCTTCCAGAAGAACTATTTATACCTCATCTCCATACCTGGTTACATCATTCCTTGTTTTGAGCCCCAATCGGACCACAATCCTTAGAGTGGCATTCAAGACTTGCTCTTACCTACTTTTCTGTCCGCATTCTTAGGATGTTGAGAGTGCCTTATGGTCACTACTCCAGGCCTTTTCATGTGCTTTGAGTATTCTGCACTCTATGCCTTTGGATTTGTTTGTTTTATTCTCTCCTCCCTTCCTCTTTTCCTCTAACCCATTCCCTTTCTATCTCTAAATTTTCTTCATCCTGAAAGACTTAGTACAGGCACCATCTCATTTAAGTGTCTTTCCCTGAATGTCCAAGTCAAAGCAAATGTACCTCTTGCTTCCTCTGATGGTCTTGGTTCTTACCTTTTCTTCTTTTTGAGATAGAGCTTTACTCCACAGCCCAGGCTGGGCTCAGATTTACAGTCCTTATTCAAGCCTCCCAAGTGTTGGAACTGTGGCATGGTTCACCGTGTCCAGTCTTATCATACTGTTAATTGAAAGTAGCATGCATTTGAAACCATGCATGAATTACAGCACTGCCTATTCTGCTGTCACTCACGCTTTACGTTAGCTTATCTACGGGGAGCCTGTCTCCCAAACAAGACCACTTCCTTCTAATAACAGCACGTTCACCAAGCAGTTATTAATGTGTGGCACACATTGATTACCTAATAAATACCTAAAATAAAGCAAACCAGACAACTCATGACATTGAGCTAAAGGACAGGAAACGTTAAAGCAACTATAGCAAATTAATTACTTCCACCTTACACCAGGGCATATAATAGTAACTCTAGCTAGCTCAAGTAGCTCTTGTCTCTGCAAAGAGAAAAAACACATCAGTGGCATGAAGTATAGGAAACTTTTGTAGTCATAGAAGAATTCTTTGGCTTACTATTTTTATAGTGGTAGAATAAGAACCATGAGAAAAATGGAAATGTATAGACGTCAGTTACAATATCTAGTCTTTTTAAAAAATACAAGTGAAAAACAAAGCTAAAGGACAGTAGGGAATTCAATAAAAAAATTTACACTGGTAGAACAGTAAGGTTTGATAGGATAACATAGCAAAAGAGAATTGAAGTGTAAGTTGTCAGCCTGTTGCAGTTCCAGATCTGGCACTGGTTGTGGATGACCATGTATATGACAGCCATTCTTTGTGCCTCCTGGTTCTGTTTTTGAGAGAAAAGACAGGTAAGTGGTTCCTGTGACATGTATATAGCTAAGATTTAAAAATTTATGCCATGATTCTGTCTTATTTCAGTAGTGTGATTGACGAACTTTTTCAGGAATATTTCAAGTGTCACAGCCTATTGAGTGGGTCTTGTTGTCACTATCCTCAGTTTCCTTCCTCATGATAACAAGGCCCATGTATTTGCTTCTGTTTGTCATCCTAGTCTGTGTGATCTGAGTGATCTGGAATACCTTGATGAGGAGTTCCACCAAAGCCTGCAGTGGATGAAAGACAATGACATCCATGACATCCTAGACCTCACGTTCACTGTGAACGAAGAAGTCTTTGGACAGGTCTGTTACATGCTAACTGAAGGCTTTTGGCTGCTGAAAAGTGAATTATATGATTAAGATTAAATGCTAGTCTATTTGTGGCTCACTGGGTGATTTAGTCCAAGACTACTAACTTGTAGTAAGCTTGGGTACAGAGATTATGCAACTGCCAACAACAGTTTAAGATGTTCTCATTTATAGGTTATGGGAACCATTTATATATTATAAATAATCTTTTTATTTCCACCTCAAGTGGATATGAGTTATGGGAATATCCAGAGATACCTGGAGATTTGAGAATGTATCTTATACAGAATACATTTGAATAGTCTCTGCTATCCCTGAGTTGAATATTAAATTATTTAATTTTAATATAAAATTCAGATCCATTTGGATTTAAAAACTGTGCTATTTACTTTGAAACAGAGAGAATATTTTGGAGAGTGCTTCAAAGCAGAGAACATACTGGTTCTATTTTAAATTTGATGGAAGGAAAGACTCAAAGGTTTCTGTCACGAGCTCCGTATTAGTTCTCACCAGGCATTGGGATTCACCTGGGTATCTTGTACTCTATGTGTTTTGAAAATGTTTCTGTTTTCCTTCAGCACATCTTTTCTACTGGCTCAGTAGGTGTAGTTGATTCTAAACCTTAGATTAGCCCTTTTCAACCTGTGGGTTGTGACCTCTTGGGGGTTGAATGCTCCTCCTTTCACAGTGGTTGCCTAAAACGATTTGCATTTCAGATATTTATATTATACCTCATAACAGTAGCAAAATAACAATTATGAAGTATCAACAAAAAACATTTTATGGTTGGGGGTCACCATATCATGAAGAAATGTATTACAGGGTTGTAGGCATTCGGAAGGTTGAGATACTTCTCCCTACCTGTGGGATCCACCAGGGGCAGAGAAGGGCTGGATGCCTAACTTCACCTCATTGGTAGCAGTTAGCATCAAGTGTATTGTTTTCTGATCAGTTCTTTTGCTTTTTAATGACAGATTACTGAAAGAGAGTTAAAACCAGGGGGAGCCAATATCCCGGTCACAGAGAAGAACAAGAAGGAGTACATTGAGAGGATGGTCAAGTGGAGGATCGAGAGGGGTGTGGTGCAGCAGACTGAGAGCTTAGTTCGAGGTTTCTATGAGGTAAGGCAGCAGTGGCTGATGTCTGCAGTCCCACAACTGGGCTGCCTGTCCATTTTACCAGGCTTCACGTATAGAATAGTTTTTCTCTTCTCTCTTATTGTGTTTACTCTTGTTCTTTTATTTGAAAAATTCAAATATTTTCTGATATGTCTCCAAAGTACACATGTGAAAGTTTACTGTACATGTCATAAGAGATCACTGAAATGAATACTACACTGAGTTTAGGTCTTCCATTTTAATGATTTAATCACTATTGATAGCATGGAAGTTATGATTCTTACTCATGCTTAGGTATGCATAATCAAATCCTATACTTGTTATGTGCAATGATTACATGTACAGGCCAGAATTTGTCACATGTATTCCATGGTCACTGGATCTTTTTCAAAACAAATAGCAAACAACTAGCTTGATCAATGGTGAGTTGTACAACAAAACCCTCCTCTTCTCGTACTCACCAGACCCTGCCTTGCTTAGCTTCTGAGACCAGAGACAACTTAGAATATTCTGTGGGATATGGTGACCGACCAACACAAACATCCTAGACGCTAATCTTACCAACTTTCAGCTAGACGCCCGCCTTCCGTCTGTACGACAGGCTTCTAGTTGAAAGTTGTACGGCAAGTTTCGTGCTATCACTGAGTACAGCCATAGTCCTCTTGAAATTCCTTTGTGCTGCATCTCTGATGAGACTTCCTCATGGCTGACATTTCTCCAGGCTCCTAAGCTGTGTCTGTGCCATTTCTACTCCACAGGTGGTAGATGCCAGGCTAGTTTCTGTCTTCGATGCCCGAGAACTGGAGCTGGTCATCGCTGGCACCGCTGAAATAGACCTCAGTGACTGGAGAAACAACACTGAATACAGAGGCGGTGAGGTTTGATTTAGAAATGTCTAGATTTACGTTACGGGGGCGCCTAGTTCAAACACAGGTCTGAGCACAGAGCAGACAAAGTCACTTGCCTTAATCACTGGTCTGCTGCTGTTTTCCTGGAGACATTGGGCAAGGTCAGTCCCTTCTGTATGAGTGACTTACTTCATTAGTCAAAAAGGGGAAGGACTGTTTACACCCCATCTGAGGATGTCATAACTCCTAATTGCTGGTGAAGAAATGTGATCCTAAGAACACCAATTAATTATTGGATGACGTTGTTGGTGAGGCATGGGGACCTTATACCCAGCTGGTCAAGCCCCACCTAACTGATCTACATTCTAAACCTCCAGATGCCACACCCTTTGAGCTTCTTAACCTGCACGGGTTTGCTACAGTTCCTTGAACTCTCTGTCAGGTATGCCTCACAGTTAAAACACAAACAGGAACAAGATAGGCTTCTCAAAATTCAGTGTGTCCATCTGCAAGGCCCTGGAGCATTGAGTTTGACTGAAAAGGAAACTGTTGTAAAATCATTTTGAGTGGGACTGTTTTGAAGTGGCTCTCTGTGGATCAGCACAGAGTTTTACTTAGTCATTTGGACCAATGTAATTGGGTTGGTTCCTTATTAAGAGGCTGAAACCTAGCCCAGAGTTTTATTGAATAATTTCAAGCAACGGAAGTATGTATTTTCTGGAATGTGTTGAGGTGTTAAATTGAGGTTTCCACAATTGCTGTTTCTGAAGTCAAGCTGTAATAAATTTTCTCTGACTGGGCCTATGTAGCATCCATATATGATATTAGTTATTTTAGATAACTTCACCAGCTGAATTATTTTAATTATCACGAATGAAAATGTATTTTCTTTGATGTCCCACTTAACTTAAATGTTGTGGTAAATATTATTTCCTTGTTCCATTATCACAGGAGATTCTAATAGCAATACAGTAATCAAATTAGCCATTTTTATATTTCCACAGTCTAAGATTTTTATTCATTACATATGAGTAAATCAAGGATCTATTTTAGTGGTAGATGTTCCCAAATGAGACCTTAGAAGAGACTGGAGAGAGGACGATACTTGGCTGCCATGTTTGCCCAGCACAGCGAGTTGGCACCCCATAAAACGGAAGTTGTGCTGTCACTTACCATCTGTTCACACAGCAGCTGTTTGTGGACGATATGATGGGACATCACTCTTCTTTCAAAATAGGCTTAGCACAAACAGTGAAGGCAAAGCAGAAAGGGCTAGCTAGGGAGGCCAGGAAGCCTCACACAGCCAATGCACTGATCTTTTGCTCACTAACAAAGTCTTTACAGAGACTGGACTCGGCTGCCATGCCTGATCTGGTGCTATTTACTCTTCACTCAAGACTTTCTTCTTCAAGGGTGATCAGTACCCTTGAGAGAACAGCAAGCAATAAAATGAGATTTCCTGGTAAATTTTGTAACTATGGTGCCGTGAGGATACATTCAGATTAAAGATAACTTCTACTCACCTTCGTTTTGGGAGTATAGCACAGAATTAAATAAAGTAATTTTCATAAAACACGACTATCAGTTGATGTAAGTCCTTAATTGCTCGTGAATTCCTGTCAGCCCTTCTCTCTAACCTTAATTATCTTTCACTGAGAAGTTAGAAAACACATAACCACTGCTTACCCAGATCTGTGAGATAATATTGGCATTTTATGTGAGATAATATTGACATTTATCTTATAAAAATGTGAGATAATTTTGAAATTTCACTAAATTCTAAGTATGGAATAAAAGTAAAACTGTGGTAATTTGTTGAAGAAATTAAATGTTTCTTCCCTATTTATTAATAAATAGTGTGAAAATAATTTGGTCTTATTTCTATTTTAATTCTTTTTGTGTTACTGGGGAGCTGAACCCAAAGTGCTTTGCCATTGAGCTACATCTTCCTTCTCAATAATTTGGTTTTATTATGAATTATGAATAGTATACATAGCTTTTGGGGAAGCACTGGGATTGAAATAGACAGCTTCAGAAAAATTTCCATTCTTCTTTCCTGGTATAAATTGTGTGACTAATGTGTCTCGCTTTCACCAGGAAGTCCTGCAAGGGTCTGTTTTCTTTGTCATTAAACCCCCAAGCTTAGTATAGTGCTTGGTGCAATGGTATTTGGAAATCGTTTCTTATAGAAATAACCGAAGGAGTTAAGCATTTCTCATCCTAGCAATCGTAGTTTTCAGAAGTGGTGGAGCTGAAGGAACTCATTTGTTGTTCCTCCCTCTGCTAAATGAAAACAGAGACCCGTCGGTTTCATTTGTGCTGTGTTGTCTACCTTTTGATACCCGTATGATCATATTTGCAGTGTTGTTCCTTAATCTTAAATTACAAACAACATTTAAAGGTGTTAATTTGTGTGTAGCATGGTGGTCTTTTGTTATATTTCTTGGTAGTTTAAGTGATATGAGCTTTCATGGTGGTTTATAGGGTATCATGACAATCACATCGTAATCCGGTGGTTCTGGGCTGCAGTAGAACGATTCAACAATGAACAACGACTAAGGTTGTTACAGGTAAGATGCCATTAGTTCATCAGTTTTTAATACAATAATATATTGTGGAAAGTACGCATATTTTTAGTAACTGTTAAATATTCTTCATAAATATAAACCTTGTTTATCTGGCTATGACATTTCCATACCCTTTTGACTGCATGTCCATGTACTGCCTCACCAGCCAAAGAACTTCTTGAGGGCTGTGGGGAAGTGCCAATGCTAGTCTGAGAAACCCAGGACTGACATGTGCCCTCAGGACAGTTGGGTCCTTGTGGTGACAGCCAGTGGCACCATGCAGTCAGCATCTTTATCAGAAAAAGAGATGTTTAGTACTATAAGAAAGGACCCCATTTGTTGACATAGTCTTTTTCTTATTTGACTTTCCATAGTTTATAGAACAAGGGAATTTTAGAGAAGTCACTGTGTTTTGTGACATTTATAAAAGTTCTCCATCTGGAGCTTGCTGGTAAGGTGCCACTAAAGTATTAGACACAAGAAAGCCTCTTGGACATTAAGACAGGGCTCAGACTTAGTACCTTTGGATTAAGTAAGGATCTGGAACTCAGATTTGCAGGCCACAAAATTCCTAAAACTCATGGTGAATTGATGACAGGCTGATGCTAAGTGTGTTTAGGCCAATTAATAGACCCATGTTGTTCATCTGTTTTGGGAAATATGCCTGCTTTAAACACCCGAGCAGGTCAAATGCAGACAATGCTTTATTTTCCATAAATACTTTACACCCCATTTCTCTGTTTAATTCGCTTCTCTTTCTCTGTGTGGCAGAGTGATTGTCACATCTGTTTTAGTTGTTCATGTTGGTGAAACTTTGGCTTCTGAAATTCCCTATTTATGCCTCCTTCTCGGGAGTGCTACACAACTATTAGGAAGTTCCTGTCCCAGATGAGGTTTCTGGCTTCACCTTTCCCTTCTGTTTCTGTGCCTGATAGTTTGTTACAGGCACATCTAGCATTCCCTATGAAGGATTTGCTTCTCTCCGAGGGAGTAATGGCCCAAGAAGGTTCTGTGTGGAGAAATGGGGGAAAATCACCGCTCTTCCCAGGTAAGATAGAAAGTAACATTTTTTTACTCTCAACACAAAGCGAGGAAGCCTCAGCTTAATTTATATTTTTCTAGTAGTCTTATGTGTATGGATGAATATATGTGTATATGGAGCAATCACTGTTTTATATGAAGACTGAAAAATTTGAAAGATGAAATTCTCTCTGATTATCTTCTTTAATAAAGTGGGGAGAGACAAGATGCCCTGTTTGGTCATGTGTAAACAACATGCATCTGTGTGTCAAAGTTCAAAACACAACAAAGGTGGAAGATTAACTTTAGTAAAGCAACATCTGCCGTCACACTTGTGGCTTGACTCTGGAAGGCAACAGAAGCTTGTCTTAGGGTTCTGTTGCTGTGATGAAACACCATGACCACTAGCTATATTTTCCTTAAGTTTGGTTTGCTGGATATGTAATTTTTTAGGCTTTTTTTTTATCATGGAAAGTCTTTCTCCTTCAACTATGTAAGACTGTTTTGCTAAGTATATTAATTTTAGTTGGTCATCATGGTCTTTTAGGACTTGGAATACAGTGCTTCTGGCTTTCAAAATCTCCACTAATAAAACCAACAGACATGCTGTCATGGATGGAGGAAAGTTCAGGAGGCCACAACCCTAGACAAAGAACTATAGGCAGCCAAGGAATTCTGAGCGTGAAAGAAATTGTCTTCCCTGAGGACGAGTTCACAATTGGTTATACAGTACCAAATGGTCAGCCATGAAAACATGCATACAAGTAACATTATATAGACTGAGCAAATTGTATTCATGTTTCTAGGAATACACACACACACACACACACACTTAAAAGTAAAGATGCCATAAATTTGAAAGCGAGCAAGTGAAGGAGGGTTTGGAGGAAGAAGGACATGATGTGACTATATTATGATCTCAAAAAATATTTAAAAATGAATAAACAAACAACAAAATCATCATGACCAAAAGCAAGTTGGGAAGGAAAGGATATATTTCATCTTACAACTTACAGTCCATATCCCAAGGAAATCCAGGGTAGGAACTCAAGGCAGGAACTGATGCAGAGGCCATGGAGGAATGCTGCTTAGAGACTTGCTTCCCATGACTTGCTCAGCCTGCTTTCTTATAACTCCCAGGACCACAGCCCAGAGATGGTACCACCCACAGTGAGCTGGGCCCTGAAACATCAATCATCAGTTTTAAAAAATGTACCATAGTCTTGCCCAAAGGCAGTGTGGTCGGGGCATTTCCTCAACTGACTTCTAAAATGGCTCTAGCTTGTGTCAAGTTGATATAATTAACCAGCACAATGCTCCCATGTGTTAAAGATATGTTAATAACTGTTGAGAATGACTTCACTAGAAACACTGCTGTTAGGGAAGAGGACTCAGTATAGTGAATATAGTCTACCTCTCTAGCACATACTGTCTATATGTCATTCCATTTGAATACTCTGCAGCTGACTCTCAACACTGTCATACATCTTATTGGGGTGGAAAAGCATTGCTTTATTGCTGCTAGAAATAAATATACAAGGCTGGCAGGTAGGGCTTGTGAAGAAAGGCATGTATGAGGTTACATGGAGGCAACTCAGGGGCTTGCCTAAGTGCCTCGCCTACCTGTGCATACCACAAACCAGGTATTGTAATTCTGCAGCACAGACTTAATTAGCATCTTGTATATTTGACACACTAAATTAGATGACTGTGATTTTTATTACTTAAAGAACTAGCTTGTTTTACTATATTTTACTTGTGTATGGGTAGTGAGGTATTTCCCCCCTCCCTTTAGCACGTATTTGTATCTTAAAAATAGATTTATCCTATCTTAATAAGATTTTTCACTATTCTGAGAAATGTAACAATTAGCATAGGAGAAGCAGGAAAATTCAGATTAACTGTGTGCTGCATTTCTACTGAATCTATTTCCATGAAACCACTGAAGTTTATGGAATTGGCTGCAATAATGATAGGTATAGGTGCTGTTCACGCTTAACCACTGTAATTTTCCTGAAACTTGTTGAGCAGAGAGAGATAGTTGGTTTCTCCTCCACCTCATACTGAGGACTCACTGAAGTCATTTGCCTAAAACACTCTTCTCATCGGCCCTGAATTTGCTGTGGTCGTTGCTGCAATATCTGCCACCACCACAACAAATTAGGCAGTGACATTGAAAAGGCTGGAAGTTAGAGATTCTGGGACCAGTTCTACTTTGTCACTATCAAAGTCTGGGATCTTCAGGACCACTGCTCTCTGAGTTTCAGGGTTCAGATGGGTTATCTGTAGACATCTAGAGGGGATGCTGTGTTGATTGGGTACACCAAAAGTTGCTCTAGATTCTTGGGGGTTGTCTGCACTGGCATATCAACTTCCCCCTGGTAGTTCCAGAAAGTTCTCATGCTGACTCACTGTCGACGGAGATGTTCCTCAGAATCATTGCAAAGGCACAGTTGGGTAACTGCTGTTGTCATTTGTACTCTCTTCCTGTGCAGCACCTGGTTCTACCATGATTATAAAGTAGCACAAATAAAGGTGTTGTTATCCATCTCCATAGAGTAGAAAGAACAATGCCTGCCTCAGAGATTATTTCTAAGGCTTGAGTGAGATAATGTATTGGAAAGTCCTTAGGAAGTGTATGCTTTCTTGTTTCTTCTCAAGCCTCTAATCCTTAACCTCTGTAACTACTGAACTACTCAGAAGAAAGTCTCTCTCTCCCTCCCTCTCTCTCTCCTCCCTCCCTCACACACACACACACACACACACACACACTGAGCTTAGACAAAAAACGGAAGACAAACAACTTCACTTCATGATAATATAGTTTTGCCAGAAGTAATGTTTTCACTGACAACCTGGACATTGTCTTTTATGAGCTTTAAAATACCATTGGAATGTAAAAAGATTTGTCAAGTTCATTCCAACCTAAAGATATTATATTTTTTATTACTGAGTCTAGTATTGCTAAGACCCAAATACATGTATTCAATCCATTTTCCTGCTGTTTCCCAGTACATGTGAGTCACAGAGCTGGAGCCAGTCTGTCTCCAGCTGGTCAGCTTCAATGTATTCTTTCCCCTGTTAGTGATTCTGTGTCTAATGTTTAAGATGTGATGGTGTGCCTACATACTAGATAGAACAGATGGAGGTCCTCCTTACTAAAAGTAAATGTATTGTTTTAAGTCACCTGGAACAAGTTTGGCATCATCTTCTCATGAGAGTGTCTATAACCTGCAGAATTGGAAGTTTGTGAAGGGTGACAGCAAGCTGTCATTGCAAGCCAGAGTGATGACAGAGAGCCTCTTGGTCTTTTCAGACAGACAATTTGGTCTTTCAACCTTCAAAGCAAGTGTGACTCTTGCTGTTTGCTTACCTACTCTCATTTTGCGGTAACCCTGGGTAGGTAGCCCTGATCACGATGTGCCCCCAAGAAATGTACTAAAGTATATATGGTAGCCTCTGAAGCCAGAACAAGTTGTATCCATGACTCCGCCTCCTCTTCTCTAGTAATAAAGTAACCAGTGATTTAGTTGATAAATAAGGATAGAGACTTGAGATTTACTCAGTGGTGTCTCCATGGAGACCAGCAGCCTGAACGTATTACTGCACTTCCTCTGTTTTGTGGTTGGTGGTTGGGCTAGCTCTGCATTTGCATCTCTGTGGAAAACTTCCTGACCCCCCAGAGCCCTGATGGATTTTATGAGTAAAGAGTAAACTCATTTTATGGCATTTCCTCTTCACAGTCCAAAAAAATTGGATTGTTCCCATGCCAGCCTGCAGAGTACAGGGCAGTCCTCTCTCCTATCTGGACACAGAGCTCCCAAGTTCATCTGAGGCTTTTGCCAATGGAGTTGGAGAAGAGTTAGAAGCTACAGTCTCTGTTGAAGGGTGGGATTTGACAGAGGAGACAATGTTAATTTGGGAAATTAGTTGTTTCAGGAGACCATTAAAAACAAAATGTCAACCCAAAAGTTAGGAAATTAAGTGTAAGAGCTCACTACAAAATAGGTGTCTCAAGGAAACAATTTTACACAATAGAATAGGATTGTTATTTTGTGATCTTTGAGCTCAGGTTGACCTTGAGTTTATGACCTCCTGCCTTAGCCTCTCTCAGAAGTGCTGGCATCAGAAGCACACACTGCCACACTCAATGGAACAGACCCAGAAAAATACAATGGCTTCTCTCTCTCTCTCTCTCTCTCTCTCTCTCTCTCTCTCTCTCTCTCTCTCTCTCTCTCTCTCTCTCTCTCTCTCTCTCTCTCTCTCTCTCTCTCTCTCTCTCTCTCTCTCTCTCTCTCTCTCTCTCTTTCTCTCTTTACTTTCTCTTAATGAGAACCTTTTTCTCACTGTAAAGTTCTACTCTTTATTCTTGTTATAAAAAGAAACTCTTTGCCAAGGAAAATATTTAGATTTTAAAATACATTATGTGTGTATAAGTGTGCACATAAAATCAGTCTATAGTCCAACAGTAAGGTCAGTTCTGTTCACAGTTTGACGAATCTGCTTCTTCTCATCCTTCAGATGCACATATGAGTGCCCACATGCACATTAGTTGCACTGCATAACCTGTTTGCAAGCTGCTTTTGGTGTATGACACCATTAATTATGAACCTCTTTCCATGACTTTAAACATTGCTCTTCAGTATCATCAATAATGCAGTTTTTCCTCCTCCAGCAAAAGAGCATTGTCTACTGTCAAGGTGAACTTGCAGCTAGTAAATAGGTAAACAGCAGAGGAGTGCTGAAATAAAAATGCCACTTTGCTCAATTAAAAAAAAACTAATCAAACAAGGATGAGGCCTAGAAACACCCTTTGGTTACACTTCCTCTGTGTATCTATCTTGAGGTGTCCAGCTGCTGGTGTCTGGGGTGACTGCGAAGGTGAGAGAGACTTGTGATGGGTTCTCAGAGTGGAATCTCTAATACAGTGACCTTCTTCAACACCTGTCCCCACTGCCCTCACACTCGGTTCTGTGGACCAGCAATATTCAACGACTGTACCATATTCTGCCATTTAATCCACTTATT